AATAGTCTTGACAAATAGTTGTTGGGAAGTGGACTGATGCAGGAGGTGGTCTTGTTTGTGCACATCGGCACATGTGTGTGTCTGTCTGTCAGTCTGCCATTCTTTGCCTTCTTTGTATACACGTGCTTTATCGCTAGCAAAAGCTACTCATGCATATAAACGTGTGAACATGTTGTTTGTGCGCGTGCATGTATGTGTGGTGTGTGTTAGTGAATATCTATCATTCTTTGTCTGGTTTTGGCATTATATTTCTGGAAAAGGTGTTCTTTATAAACAAAAAATGGTTGTTAGTTGAACAGGGCATTTCATGTCTGAATAGGTCTAATCTATCAACAGTTGATCGAACCCTGAGAGCGTACTGATGTAATTATTTTTAGTTCTTTTACTTTTAATAACCTCATGGGTGAAAGGAGTTTTTTTGACATTTAGTTGTCCAATATTACTAAGTTGCATTCACACAAAGATCTCCACTTCTGATATTACATGTATTGATGAACATGTGGATATTTATTGGCTCTGATTGAATGAATTTGACTAAATTTCTTACCTGATACAGGCCGCAAGTAACAATAGCCACAGCAATAATTTTTTGTCACCGGTTCTTCATTCGACAATCACATGCGAAGAATGATAGAAGGGTGAGTTGTTATTCTCATTTGTCTGGTGAATTTGTTGTTAAAATTTGGTTTGCCTTCTTTATTTAAGGTAAATCTGTTTACTCTAAGTATTTCCTTTTAGAAATCCAAGCAGTCTCTATATTTTGAATCCATTTCATTATGAAGTTTTATCCATTTTGCATTTTGTTTTTGATGACATAGTGTTGGTATGCCTACTAGATTGATTGAGGGTGAAACTGTGAAAAGTGTTATAATAGAAGCTGTAAATGTAATTTCTTTTGTTAACTTTACTTACGATTGTATTTCTGATAGAGAATTTTCTTGTAAGAAAGAGCATTGAGTAGAAAACATTTGTATGTTCTTGTGCTTAATTTCATTTGTTTGCTCAACAGACCATTGCTACTGTGTGCATGTTCCTTGCTGGGAAGGTTGAAGAGACGCCTCGCCCATTAAAGGATGTTATTCTTGTTTCCTATGAGATAATACACAAAAAGGATCCTGCTGCAGCCCAGAGGATCAAACAGAAGGTGTTCTTTTAATTAATGGTGTTTTTGCCAGTTTATTTGTATTCCACTTTCTGATGTTTGAGTTGCCACTTTACCCCCATGTCATATCTCTTCCTCCCTGACATTTGCTATTTATCTCTAACCTAAATCTCACTTGCCATTCCATTTGTGCAGTCTTTCTCATTTCCTTTGCTCTTCTGTTTATTTATTTATCTTTTTCACTCCTTTTCTTATTCCTTGGGCATATAAGGCTGACCCCATTAGCTATATTTTCTTCTTATAAAAGTGAGCAAGCTAAAATCCCATTTATGGTTCAGTGTGAGGATTTTACCTTTGAGATATTAGCTCACACATAACAATTGTCCAATCTGTTGATTATTTGGTGAAATATTGCCAATGTGTGTAAAATACTTGGCAGAGACATAACTTGTCAGTATTTTGGTGTGTTCGCTTTCCTTTTGTCAGAATTTATTCTTCTGTCCCTCTTGAACTCAAAATTCTTGCTCAGAATCCACTTTTTTCCTCCACAGCTGTGTCCTTGGTAAAATATCTCCCTGCTACCTCACTTTTTTTTTAAAGTATTTTTAAAATATAACATTGCTTATTATCTAGTTATTATTGTTATTTTTAAATTTTTATTTGCATAATTTTAGTTAGTATTGTTACTCATTAGTGTATATATGTGTCGCAGGAAGTGTATGAGCAACAAAAGGAGCTAATTTTACTTGGGGAGAGGCTTGTACTTGCCACTTTGGGTTTTGACCTCAATGTTCATCACCCATATAAGCCTCTTGTTGAAGCGATAAAGAAATTCAAGGTTGCACAGAATGCTCTTGCTCAAGTTGCATGGAATTTTGTTAATGATGGGTATGTGTAAGTGGTGTTTCTTCAAGTTTCTAATATGATCTCTTCCTTCTGTTCTCTTTTGACACACTGCAAAGCGGCTTGCAGGCTGAGGACGTCGCTGTGCCTGCAATTTAAGCCCCATCATATAGCTGCAGGTGCCATTTTCCTTGCTGCCAAGTTCCTCAAAGTGAAGCTTCCATCGGATGGTGAGAAAGTCTGGTGGCAAGAATTTGATGTCACCCCACGCCAGTTGGAGGGTTGGTGTCCTCTTCATTATTTTGTAATAAAGATTTTGTGGATACAATTGGACAGTTAAATGGCTTCCTGACACTGATATTGGTTGTGGTTGCTTGCTTATAGCATTTGCCAAATGTTGCTTCTCTTAAAATTGGCTGACCAAATACGGGATTATAATTATCTGTTTCATGTAATTCCTTTGGTTTTGGTGGGCAGTCTGCTTATTGCCATGTTGAGTGAAATGCCCTGGATGTTGCTCCGATAGCTTTGCTGTCCTTTTTTATCCTTTTTTCATGTGGCTTTAGTTGGCTATTTTACTTGGTCACTGGTGTTATTTAATCTTGCAGAGGTTAGCAATCAAATGCTGGAACTTTATGAGCAAAACAGAGTGCCCCCATCTCAGGGTAGTGAAGTAGAAGGAAGTGCTGGTGGTGGAACATCTCATCGAGCCCCAGCAAAACATCCTTCTGGAAGTGAGGAAAAGCAAATGTCATCACGGTCAGCAGCTGACCACTCATCTGCAGACAATCATGGGGTGCCATCAAGAACTGTGCAAAATCAAAGTAATGATAATGGGAGTGGGGAGATGGGCAGCGTTATTACTGATCACAAGACGGATATGGAAACAAAGGATAATCAACATCCTGAGCAATTGCCCCAGAAGGAGAACATGAGGGAAGTTTCAAATAAATCTAGGTCTGGAATGGAGCGAACTGGGGGAGAGGACCATGAAAGAACTGGTGGAAGAAATGAAATTGCAGAAACAGGTGAGTGGAGAGATGATGGAGCATCACGGAAGGCTAGCAGTGTGGTTGGGAGGAACTTGGACATGAGGGAAGGCCCGGTTGGCCAGTCCCCCAAAGAAGCTATTAAAATTGACAAAGATAAGCTGAAGGCTGCACTTGAGAAAAGGAGGAAGTCTCGTGGGGAAACAATGAAGAAAAAGGATGTAATGGATGAAGATGATCTTATTGAGAGGGAGCTAGAGGATGGGGTTGAATTGGCTGTCGAAGATGAGAAAATCAAGCGAGAACGTAGGCAGACCTGGTCTAGGAATGAGAATATGGATCATGGAAAGGACCATGGGGAAATGGGAGAAGGGAACCACTTTGTTACAAAGGGGCAGTCATCTAGGGGATTTGAAGCAGAGGCTGCTGAAGAAGGAGAAATGCTGGATGATGCTTCTCCCATGGTGAACAGCCGAAAGAGAAAAGGTGGAAGCCCACCAGACAGACAGTTGGAAGGAAAGAAGCGGCACGAGTATATGCCAAGTTACAACCATGACAGCATAGAAGATGGGCAAAAGATGGGTCGGAGTAGTTATGCAGATAAAGAGCATAGAAGGCATGCACACGAGAATCATTTGTGAGGAAGTAACACGGGGAAGAGTGGGCGTGCATGATCTATCATATGATCTTTGGGACACTAGTGTCTGACCGTTGCTATTGATAATTGAACTTTGGTCACATAAATGGTCAGAATGATCCTTGGGAACTGAAACATTGCTGAAATGTACTTAAATTAGTTTGATTTTGATTGCCTACGATGGCGCATATCTTGGCTGTAACGGAATGTTAGAATGAGGATACATCAGTGGCCACAATGGCAGGGGCATCAAGAGAAAGTAAAAGAGGCAGTTAATTTATTTAGTTCATATATATATATATATATATGAAAAAAAAAAATCGAGCGTAGACAATTTCTATTATATCTCTTCGTACTTGTTCCCCCCCCCAGCTCACATTCCTGACTCCCCAGTTTGTTTTCCTGGTCGGATGTAGGATGAGTTATTTGGTTCCAACAGAACTCCCGAAAATGCCCAGGCTAATTGTTATATTGTGTTTAACTTGGGTTTGATCACTGATTCCCTGAAATGTGACTGCTACCGACCGATATACCTCTGTACATGATGTTACGCATAAACTTTGGAACGACTCGTTTATCTTTCTGAATCGTCTGTTTGCACTTGGTTTTCATTTTATTGAATTGTGATATGTGAAGGCGTTCATCCAAAGTAGTAATCAAATCGATAGGATGTAAATTGCCTTTGCTTGGGGATACAACTAGCAAATGATTCAGGCACCTATGCCTGCTATGCTATGTTAAAATCGATTCTCGATTGGGACTGTAGCAATCCCCAATTGTGACTCAAACGGTTGCCACATGGCCAATTCTTTTTGTTTTGAAATTATTATTTGTAATTAAAAATAAGATTTTTTTTTGTTTCTTAGATGAATAAGATATTAATAAAAAAATATAATTCCAAATAGAAAATAATAATGTTTTGAATAATTGAAAAAAGATCATAATAAAATTTATTAAATATATTATGGTTTCAAATAATTAAAAGAATTCAGAAAATGGGTCATCAAGCAATTAATATTTTTATATGAAGAGATTTGAGTTCAAATTTTCAAATGAAATAGGCTTATCATTAAATTAAAAATCAAGTAATTTATATTTTTCTAGTGAAAAATGAAGTCAGGGACTAGAGCATATACACCAATTCCCATGGTTATTGAACTAAATAAAAATGGTTGCAATGCAAATAAAGTTGTGTCAGTGATGTTAGTGACGCGTGCAGAGACATCACAAGAGTACTAGTGAATGAGCAAGTAGCTCGTGTCGAGCATAGGCGCAGAGGACAAACTCTCTTTATCCAAACTCTTGAGAAGATAGATATAGAGAGAATCTGGAACTCACAAGTAAACACCCTTAACCAATCGCAACCATCCAACTCAGCCTTGTTACTCCCTGCATCTTATCCTTCCTCCCACCACGAGCCTCTCCCTCCCAGAATCTAAAGCCCATCCCTCCCTCCCTCCTCCTCTCTCTCCTCTCAAATCTCCCTCTTCATCATCAAAGCAAAAGAGGAATCCCAAAAATATAGAAGCCCAAGATGTCTCTTACAATCCCAACTAATCTCTCAAAACCGCTTTTGAAGCCAAAGCTAAACTCCCAGGTTACCCCCAAAGTTTCAAGGTCGTTGGTGGTGTGCTCAAGCACTCCATCCTCAGACAAGAATTCGACATCACCCTCGGCTCCGCCGCTTCAAGCCTTCTCAGCTGCTCTAGCTCTTTCTTCCATTCTTCTTTCAGCTCCCCAGCCTGCTGTAGCTGACATTTCAGGGCTCACCCCATGCAAGGAGTCCAAGCAGTTCGCCAAACGTGAACAGCAGCAGATCAAGAAGCTCCAGTCATCGTTGAATCTTTACGCCCCTGACAGTGCTCCAGCTCTGGCTATCAAAGCAACCATCGAGAAAACCAAGAGAAGATTCGACAACTATGGGAAATACGGGCTGCTTTGTGGCTCTGATGGGTTGCCTCATTTGATAGTGAACGGTGACCAGAGGCACTGGGGTGAGTTCATCACACCAGGCCTGTTGTTCTTGTACATCGCTGGATGGATCGGGTGGGTTGGAAGAAGCTACCTGATTGCTATAAGGGATGATAAGAAGCCAGCCATGAAGGAGATCATCATCGATGTGCCTTTGGCTAGCAGTCTGCTCTTTAGAGGCTTCATCTGGCCTGTCGCAGCCTACAGAGAGCTTATCAATGGTGACCTGGTTGCCAAGGACGTGTAATCTCCTCAGGTCTGCCTATCTTCTCTCTCATTAAACTTATATTTTTCAAATTTAATTATTTATGTTGCATTACTTTATCTTGAATCGTTAGCGATAACTTTTTTTTTTTTTTGGTTAACAACAATACATAATACTGTAGTAAGTAACTTGTGATACATTTTGTCTTGAAATTCATGAGATAGAACGAAAGGGAATCGTAAAATCAGAAAATTTTCCTTGATTATTTGTTTTATTACTAAGCTATCAATGTTTCTATGTTTTTATTATTAAGATTGGAGCATTCCTATGTATGATAGTAGTTTATAGTAATTAATTGGGTGTATTAATTTGGTTTCTATTGTGATGTTTTTGGGCACAGATATTGAATGGAACGAACACTGGGATGGGACGGAAGACGGTGTGCTTTAGACTGAATATTGTTTGTGGGAAGAGAGGCATCTTGGGAAATTTCTTGTACTTAAAATGCAAAATTTTTTCTTTCCCTAGTGAATGCAATGCTAGTGTTAAACATTTGGAGCTCATCAGCTTTCCATTTCAATCTGTTGTTATCCAAAGTCATGTGACTATATGTTATATAAATATCTCCTTCTAAACAGCAATCTTAGAATACTATGTGCTCTTGTACTATCAGTTTAGATGTGCAGCAAAAAATAGACATAAAGTGGCAAATGTAGTTAGCAATAAGTAGCCTCTATCACCTCGTTATGGCACAAACTAAATAAAAGGACTAATAGAAGGCCAGGAACTTGCTCTGATAGCTAAATTTTAAAACCTAAATCATCAAAAGTTTAAAAAGCTTATGAGGTAATCTAATTCAGTACAGAAATGTGGGACTTGTCTTTTCGTTAGTATTGAACTTTTGTCTGCGTTGGAAATTTAACTTTCTTCCATGCCAGTGTTCTGTAAACACAGAGAGCCGATTTCCCCTTCAAGCTCATGCATTCCAGGGCCATTGAGTCCAGGCAAGTCCATTCATAACATTGGCATTCCTTCTCAATTTACATGCAGTTTATAAAACTACATATATATTAATGGTAAAGATTATTATATTCTTAGGTACAATTAGTTAATTAATTAAAGGTAATATAAAGCCAATCCATTAGCAGCGAGGCACCTGTCTTCTCTGCACTCGGAAATGAAATTGGCAAACCTGGATCTCGTCATTAGCCCATCTTTTTAGCCACTACCCGCTGGTCTTGAGCCCTCTATGTTGGACCTTGACCTGACCTAAGTTGAAAACTTGCAATTTGCCTTTTTTCAGGTTAGTTATATACATCGATATTGGACTACATACAAACCATGTTTGGGCCTTGATCATTCCAATAAATTCTTGAATTTTAGTCATCCTTGAGCTAAGTGCATCCGCTATGACATCTATTAGAGAAAAAAATAGTGAACATAATTGTGTCTTCGATTAGATGGACTGGAACAGAAAAAAGTGAGTTCAAATAAAGTAAAAAACAAGCTCAAATTGGTTGATTTAATGGAATCTAAATTCCAGCCTTGAAGTGGATGAAAAATGTCCTTTTCCTAGAGTTGACTTGGAAGACAGTGGGTAAATCATGGAGCATAAGTTATGTATGGAATTCAAGTTAAAAATCACTTTCTTCGCGTTTAAACTTTAGAGTCCAAAAGATAAAATGTGGGTTTGTGGGTTAATTAGCCTGTCTACATCATAGCCAAGGGACATAATGAGAAGGGATTTGACTTGTAGAAGTCCATAATGGTGAGTGCATCCACCAACCCCAAGCTTTCGAGAGGGTAGAGGAGAGGAGGGAGCAATCCTCATTCCTCATTCCTCATTCCAAATACACCTGCCACTTCACTGTTGGTAACCCTAATGGGGAGCAAAAAGGAGCTAGTACAGGTATGATTTGGGTTTGGTAAATTTGTCAACATTTTTTAGCTCATGGTAATTTCTTTTCTTTGGGAAGGTTAGATCGATGAGTGTAAACATTTGACAAGTTTACTGCAAGCTTGGCAGTTTTTTCTTCCAAATTTTGATCCTTTGTTTCATGACCAATCACTTTTCTTGCTTTTGTTTCAACATTAACGGTAAGGACATTGATCTCTTTTGATAGTATTGGCTTTGACTAATGAATCAATCATCGCATATCCACAGCAGCATTTAGTCTCACTCTCACCCAAAGATATTGTTTTTTTTTACAAAAAAAAAAAAAGGCAAGGAAATCTAGTGCTAATTAGGCTACCTAAGACCTTTTACCGAAAATGAACTGATTTTTCATGTTCCATGGCTGTTCTCCTCTTTTACTCCAAGTCAGTATCATTTCTTCACATGATCCTTGATTGAACCAATAAGAAAAGATGGTCAGACACATACAGCTTAACAACTCTGCTTGGAATAAAGCTACCAATCTTTGAAACTATAGGAAGTGGTTTTCTATTGAGGAGATCCAAATCCAATGTGCTTCTGTTGTCCTCCGACCTTAACTGTAAACAACTGGGAAAATATTCATGATTTTCACCATTTTCAGTCTAGAAGATAGACTGAATATGGACATGATTGGTTAAGGTTAGACTTTCTGTAGAGTCCCATGCTGCATTATTTGACAGCACCCACATATGCAACACTTATTTTCTCCAAACCCAACATGTTATTTAATTGATTGGATGGAAGGACATTAAAGTAGGCAAGCAGTCTACTCTACTACATAAGAGGGAGTGCATGCTGGCCACATTAACCACCCTAAACTGCTGACCTCTTGGTGAGATAGCTTCCATGAGCTCAATAAGATCTCATCATTACGGGTTTGATTATTGGGGAACCGAAAGAATTAATGTCACAAAAAGGAACGCTAGCTTGATGCTAAGGAGTCTTCAACCAACTGAATCATGATGAATCGCATATGCCAGCTGCTCCACAAGGGCTTTCGAGGTGTTAATGTCTCTCTATAGTAAGAGAGCGATTTCCAACGTCCATTCAAAACGTTTTCTCCAAAAGTTTTCAACAAATGAACGTGACAACAGCATAAAATTGTCTTCTTTTTAATAGCTTGCTAGACTTTTCTTACGAACCGCCTGGCATACCTAAGTTTTCAAGTCCTTGGCTTTTTCTGTTGAAATTTTGAACTCTAATAAAAGTAGCAATAAAATTTCCATTAGCTAAAGCAATGGAATCCTGCAATTCCATTTTTTTCTTTCTCCCTTCTTTTTTGAGTTGAAAAATTCAGTTAAATAATGTGACAAATTAACCAGATAAATTAGGTGAATCCCCAGCTACCCCATTAGCCAAGGCAAACAAGAGTAGATAAGAAAATTTATCAAATAGTAATGGTGTTGACGTGCTATATGTGGTCGGTAAACAAACACCACAAAGTATTAAGCCGATGCTGAAAATACAACCAGTCATCACATCAATTAGATAGAATGGCGAAATTCATGCACCAGCCTCAGTCCATTTATATAAATTACTATTATAAATGACTCGCTATATATAAAGTTAAATTATATATGTACATTCTAGTTAATGACCAAGACCCTTTTCAAACCAAAGTAAGCTAAATGACCTTGAACCACCACTCTAGCCGCCACAGCGCCACCGCTGCTGCCACCACCTCTCTTTTCTCTACCCAAATTGCTGTATATAAAGGGATTATATTAAGAGGGAATTTAAGCATAGGGTGACAAAAATTTAGCCTAGATATAATTAAGCTAGTATGACCACATAGACTCTCCCAAGCTAGCATGGTCCACTACCATATCCACGTCAAACATGGGCTTGGCTTGCGAACCCATGAGCTTAGGAGAGGGTGACCCGCTATTACTTGGGCTTCCTGGGCCAAAACCATGATGTGAAAAGGATGCGGTCTGCCTCACCCGGAGGTGCACCACCTCTGCCTGTGCCAGGGCCAGTTGGGTTTGAAGGGCGTCTATCTGCTGCTGCAGCGATGATATGGCTCCGACACACCCGTAAACGGGATCACGGACCCTGGCGTTGGCCTCATAGACCATGCTACTGACCGCGTCGCCCCGCTGGTGCACTGGCAACTCCTGCAAGTTCAGCTTCATTTTGTCAGATATGCAGGGCCCAAAAGGGGGGGAAAACAGCAGTAGTCATCAGGCGGAAGTTAAGGCCCATGGGCCTGAAACCGACACTAGTATGAGGTCTAGGCGGCCTCATCTTAATATCTCTTGCCTTGCGTCATTTTCTATGGTTTAGTATTAAATTGAATTTGTCAACAGTCCAGGACTATTATTCAGCACAAAAAGGTGTTTTCTTTTACATTTTTATTTTTACTGGGTGATTCCAGGGCGCCAACTTCTAATCGTATTTTACTTGGTGGCCTCTCCATGTTGGCACCGAGCTTGCTTTTTGGGCAATAGATTTAGGTGCCTCAATTCTTTAGTTATATTTTAATATGTTGGGATCTCTTGAGTGAAAAGACTATTTCATGCCTACTTGGGGGTATAGTATACCTATATATTCAATCGAAAACAAAGGTAGTCAAAAGAGATATTTGCTTGTAATTCTCATTAGAAAAGCAACTAGGAGACATCTTCACGTGATCCCCAAACAGCCCTTAGAAATTCAAGCAGAAATGAGAAAAGCAAACTCATTCTAAATGTTCTTAATTAAATACACTTGTTTTTACCATCTCAAATGCTCTTGACAATGGATAACGCGTGTTTCAAGTAATCAAATAGCTGAATAAGTGATTTTCAGCTCATTAATGTTTGACAGTTTGAAATCTAGCTAGGTCCTAGCTAGAGAGGTTCAAATAGAAAAGAATGGAGCAAGTTATTGGCATTACCTAGAGGCTCTATAGGGACGGGCACTGTTGATTAACTTTGGTTTCATCTTAAAAAAAAAGATACCATCTACTTAAAATGAAGTAAACAACTGACTGGGTTAATCTTTGTACAAAAAATTAGAGACTTAACAGGGAAATTAACAACTGCATATATTTGACCCTCTAAATTCTAGGCATCACCAGAATTGCTTTTGCTAATTAGTGCCAGCCTCATTACCCTAAGGAAGGAATTGGAAAAAAATGAACAAAAAGATTTATTATTCACCAAAACCCTTTAATTAGGAATTAATTTCTCTCAGAAGCACTTCAATAACAATGACTATTGTAATCTGCTCAATTCTGCTATATTAGTGTCAAGTAATAAAGTCAATTAAGTCATAGCTGCGGGCAAGCTTCAAGGCAGAGTCTTAAAGTACTATTGGAACGTAGAATGAAATAAAATTTCCCATGGTTTAGAGAAATAATCTTAGTCAAATTAAAGCTAGAGAATCAAAGAAGTCATTTTCCTAAGCAAGAAGGAGTTCCCAAAGCCCACCCAAGTGTTTTGGTGAGAAAAAAACTTAGTATTAATTTATAAGTACTAAGTGGTAGTAGAAACCTGTAGCATCTTGTTGACATTGCTAGCCCCAAACACCTTGTGCACATTAGCAAACTTCTGGGGCTCATCGGCAGGGAAATAAGGAGCAAAAACACAGTCTTGGGCACACCTTCTCCTAAGAAGCTTGCATGCTGCACATGGTGACGCTGCGCCCTGCTTCCTGCCACTCTCCTTCATGGTTGCCACGTGTTTATAGCTAGGGGTACCCTCACTAATTTTAATACTGTCAATGAGAAAAAAAA